CTGGGACACATGGGCCTGGTTATTCCTCTTGTCACATGTGGAATGGTAGGAGATGGAAGAGGGAGAAAGACCCGGCAAGCAAAGGCGTACACTGGCAGAGAGAAGTGAGCTTAGCTGTCTGAGCCAGTGGGCCCCAGCAGAGGAGCACCTGAGCCCAGCACACACACCCTCCCTGTGCAGTCCTTTCAAACTGCCCAGACCCTTTCCCCACAACACTGACCTCTGACAGCGTCATTCTCTAATACAGGCAATACCCATGTTCCCACTCAGAAAGCGGGTATAAGACACTACCCCCTAGGGCAGCGGTTCTCAACCTGTGGGTCGCGACCCCTTTGGAGGTCGAACGACCCTTTCACAGGGGTCGCCTAAGACCATCGGAAAACACATATATAATTACATATTGTTTTTGTGATTAATCACTATGCTTTAATTATGTTCAATTTGTAACAATGAAATTGGGAGTCACCACAACATGAGGAACTGTATTAAAGGATTGCGGCATTAGGAAGGTTGAGAACCACTGCCCTAGGCCCTAGTGGTTGGCAAACTCATTAGTCAACAGAGCGAAATATCAATAGTACAACGATTGAAATTTCTTTTGAGAGCCAAATTTTTTAAACTTAAACTATATAGGTAGGTACATGGTTATTAACTTAATTAGGGTACTCCTAAGGCTTAGGAAGAGCCACACTCAAGGGGCCAAAGAGCCGCATGTGGCTCGCGAGCCGCAGTTTGCCCACCACGGCCCTAGGGGCTATAGGAGAGAGAAGCAGGGAAGCAGGAGCCTTATTGGATTTCAGCAGCAGGTGTGGTATCTAGGGAAAAGAAATTTGGCCAGCCAGGAACTGAAAACAAAAATGTCCTGCTGGATTCCTCCTGAAAAAAAACCTGTTCCCCTCCCATCTCCTCTCCAGCCAGGTCCCAGGTTGCCATTTCCTAGGAAAAGACAGAGCCTCCCGGTGGTGTGTGTGGGTGGAGGAGCAGGGCTGTGATAACAGACCATGGTCCAGGCAGGGGCTCCAGGTCCAGTGAGGGTGGGAGGAGAAGGCGTCACTTCCGGGGGCCCTCCGCAGTGCCTGGTGGCTCCCTGTTCTCTGATTGGGCAGAAGTGGCCCAGGCAGGCGTGTGACCCCACTGCTGGGAAGGGGCTATGCCCCAACGCCACAAGCTTTCCTACCCATCTGCTCCCCAGAGTGCCTTCTGCTCTGCACCTGGGTCCTGGAGCCCTTCTCCACCCGGTGAGTGGCAAGCAGGGCTTGCAGTTAAGTGAGGGTAGGAAGGACAGGAAAGAGGAGTTGGGCTCTCAGCTGGGGGAGGGGCGGGCACACTGGAACCTACAGGCACTGACCTTTGTCAGGAAGCGTGTGGCCTTCCCAGAATGGGAGGAGTAGGGCAGAGCAGGGGTAGGGGGTGGGGTGCTGGGTTCTGAGGGACTGGTCACAGACGTGGTGAAATACAGCACAGTCCTGGCGGGCACTAAGGAAAGGAAACATGGGCTTTGGGGGGCGGGGGGAAAATGAGAAAGGAAGTATATTATTAGGACTTGGGGAACTCAGCGCCAAGGTGGACACAGCTCCAATCTTCATTCTTACCCAGTTATTCCTAGTTAGCTTAAGGTTCTGGCTCCAGGGGCTGGGAAGCTGGGTCAGGCAAGCCAGGGCACAAGGAGAGGGTGATGGGAGGAGGGCTCCTGCATGTTGACAGACCTATAGGAAATCCCAATATTGAAACAGGTGCAGGCCTCTTTGCACAACTTGTGAAAGAGGGAGGAAGCCATGTGGGGGGTCCTGTGAAGGAACCGGAAGGGGTCTGAAGAGGGGGCAGGGAGGAAGGTATGGGCTAAGAGATATGGTGGGTGGCCGTGGGGAGGTATGCCATGTGAGGTGGGCATCGTCTCACTCAGTAGGTATCCATTCCTGGACAACTCGCCTCAGGAAGAAAGTCTCAGGAATGGTAGTCCATCTCCTTGCCTTGAAAAACCCAGTATTTCAGAACTTGGAGAGCAAAGAAAAACTTTAAGAGGCTTTATGTGTGGGGGTAAATAGGGAAAAAAATTAGAGGTTAATTTCTCCCATGCCACCTTCTCTTAATCTTTTAATCAATGACTTACATTAGTCCAATTTTTTGGTTTCTGTTGGTGTTGCTTATTTGTTTGTTTTTGCCTAATTCCATCCCCAACCCCACTCCACAAGCTACCCCTCGATACATTGTACATATTTGCTAGTTCCCCATCCTGGCCTTATTCCGGTTCCCGCCCCCCCCCCCTTCTTCAGGTTATGCCACAGTGCTTCCCTTCTCTATCCCCATGCCAGACTTTCTCCAACCAAACAATCAAGGTGGCTCAGAATTTGAGGCCAATTAAGATGTGTGTTTGTGTACATATCCTGTCCTGCTGCTCTCGGCAGGAGGCAGGGGCACCAAACTCGGGTCAGATTCACTGAGAAACCCTGACAAAGAGGAGACACCATATGCTACATTCACAAGAAAACGTGGGGGCACTCAGAGCTTTAGCAGTTCTAGGCTGGTCAGCATCGCCAGCCCTCCCAGCCTCTGTTCCCCCAGCCAGACAGAGTCTCCTCCTTAAAACTTGAATAAGTGTTCATTATCCCCGTCACTTGCAGGATAGATTCCAGACCCTCTTTCTCAGCCCACCTGTGCCGTGCCCCACCCCACTCTGTGTGCCCCACCCCACTCTGCCCAGAAGTGCAAGAGCCCAAGCCGCCTCCATGGCCCCAGGAAGGATTCAGGGGAGAGGCCCCACACAGGGAGCCACTCCACCCAGACAGCCTGGCCAGAATGGAGCTGACTGGTAAGAATACACTGAGGGGCTGAGAGCCAAATCAGAACATGGTAGAAGGGGAAAGAAAGGAGATGCGCTACAGTGTGTGTGTGGGGGGGGGGGGCTGGAAGAACCCACTTTCCGAGGAATGAGGCCTCTGAGTGGCAGAGTGCCTGGATTTCAGGTCTGGGTCCTAAATGTGAATTGCAGACCACCACCCAACAATGATTTCTGCCTTACCCACCCCTTTCACCCTCACCTCTCCTAATCTAAGAACTGCTCCTCGTGGTCATGCTTCTCCTAACCGCACGGCTGACTCGGTCTAGCCCGGCTCCTCCTGCCTGTGACCCCCGACTGCTAAATAAACTGCTACGTGACTCTCATGTCCTTCACGGCAGACTGGTGAGAACCCCCCAGCACTGTCCCCTCTGTCTGTTTAACTGGTAAGATACCCTCACTCCCATCAAATCCTCTCGCTCCCTGATCCAATCACTGTTCTTCCAATATTGTTTTTGGTAAAGACCATGACCTCCTGATCAGCACTCCTTGACAAGGATTATGATTTGCAATCAAGCTCTCCTCTAAAACTAATCTGGACCTATTACTCATGGAAGCATCTTAGTCACTAGGTGACCATGTCCCCTTCTCCTTTCTCTCCCCCTCTCCCACCAATTTTTTCAACAGAGCCAGTGCCCAGACATTAACCCTTTGTCCACACCTGTCCTGCTGCCTGCTGTGGACTTTAGCTTGGGAGAATGGAAAACCCAGACGGTAAGAAAGCCAGCCCTTCCCTGGGCTTCTCTAAGCCCTGTCTTCATCAGTTTCCTGTTGCTTCCTGTGGATTCTTTAAAATTCCTGAGCTCTCTGAAAATATCGCATCTTCAGCTTGGCCACTCTAACCCAATCTACATTCTACTGTGATAATATCCTCTGGACAAGATGATGACTTGCAGTTCCAGTGTGTTAAATAGATTCAAAGCTGAACACCATGAAAAGCTGGATAGAGGTCTCTCATGGGCCATGCCTTTGACTTATTCCAATTCAAGCTTCTTAAGTTGGCATGAATAAGTAAGACTGACCTGTCAGCCACAGATGACACAAAGCTGGGAACCACCACAAAAATAACAAAAGACAGAATCAAGATTCAAATCACTGAAAGGCGAGGTTCAAAACATGGTGGAATTTAACAGAGATATATTAAAAATTCTACATGTGTAAAGTACTTGAGTAAAGTCCTACTCCAGCTTGCAGGCCACAATGCCCTGCTTCCCTCATAGAAACTTCTGGCCCTAGAATTTACTACGAAAAAGATCGAGGACGGTTGAGTTGGCCCCAAACTTCACATGTAACAACATTATTGAGGCAGCTATTTAAAAACCTAGTGGTTCTGGGTAGCTTTCAATGTTTAGCACCAATAATGTGGAAATATCCCCATAAAATTCCGAGTGGACTGCACTTAAAAATACTGGACTGAGTACTAGACACACGCTAATTTATTCAGAGGATCTATTAAACTAGCATGTACCCAGGAGGAAGCAACCTGAGCAGGAAGAGGTTAGAAAACATGTTATATGAGGAATGGTTTAAAAAAAAAATACAAAGCCTGTCTGATTAGCTTGGACGAAGTGGCAGTCTCGTGGTATAGCATGGGGAGCTTTAGTCGGAGGCTCAGGAAACCACTGGGAAGGAGCACTCCATGGTAGGTCAACTCTTCCATCCTCAAGACCCCTGGAATCTCATTCCCCCCTCAGATCTCCTAGGGGGCTGGGCTGGGGAAGGGCAGCTCCTAGGGAGCCCTTAGTTCCAGCTCTGCCACGTGCCCCCAAGCCCTTCCCTTCATCTTTATGCTCTTTATGATGGTTTCATCTCTACACTCAGTTAAAAAAGAATCACATGATCCTAAGGTTCTGTAGCAGAACGAGATTTGCAGCACTAGAACCAAGAGGTAAATGCCATAAAAGGGCAGATTTCAGTATAATGTAAGAAAGAGAGAAAAAAGAGCTTTTCTGACTGAAAGTAAGTGTAAGACCAGGCAGGGTTACCGGACACTGGAGTTATTCAAGCAGAGGCTGATGACCAATTGTCGGGAGACTGTGAAGGAATTCCTGTGCTGGGTGGGACCTTGGTCCTGTCCAATTCTCAGCTTCTATGATTCATGCTGCTGGCTACTCCTCCAAGCTCCCCACCCGCTATTAGCATGCCCTTTGAAGCAGTGCACTTCTCTCGTCCATCTCTTTCCCAGGAGCAGACCAAGGCACAGGACGTTCTGGGGGCGACGACCCTCCTGCTGGAGGGAGTGATGGCAGCACGGGGACAGCTGGGACCCACTTGCCTCTCATTCTTACTGGGGCAGCTTTCTGGACAAGTTCGCCTCCTCCTTGGGGCCCTGCAGGGCCTCCTTGGAACCCAGGTAAGTCCCCAGTCAAGGGAACTATAGAAAATGTCCCTCTTTTCTGACTCAGTCTCCTCAGAAGGCCTGAGGGAAGAGGAATTCTAGGAATCTTGAGATAGAAGAGATGACCTCCCAAGGAATGCTCCCTCCCAGCCATAAAGCCTGGGTGCTGGTACCCTATCTACCCACATAGACAAGGGAGGCATGAGATCTGGCCCAGGTCTCTGGCCTCAGGCCCATCCTCTGCCCTCAGCTTCCTCCACAGGGCAGGACCACAGCTCACAAAGATCCCCATGCCATCTTCCTGAGCTTCCAGCAGCTGCTCCGAGGAAAGGTGCGCTTCCTGCTGCATGTGGTAGGGCCCACCCTCTGTGCCAAGCGGGCCCTACCCACCACAGCGCTCCCACACAGTACCTCTCTACTCCTCACACTGAACAAGCTTCCAAACAGGACTTCTGGATTGTTGGAGACAAACTCCAGTGTCCCGGCCAAAACTACTGGCTCTGGACTTCTGAAGAGGCTGCAGGGATTCAGAGCCAAGAGGCCTGGTCTGCTGAACCAAACCTCCGGGTTCCTAGACCAAATCCCCGGACAACTGAACAGGACACACGGACCTTTGAATGGAACTCATGGACTCTTTCCTGGACCCTCACCCAGGGCCCTCGGAGCCCTGAATATTCCTCCAGGAACTTCGGACATGGGTTCCCTGCCACCCAACCTCCAGCCTGGATATTCTTCTTCCCTAACCCTTCCTCCCATTGGACAACATACACTCTTCTCCCCTTTACCCACCGTGCCCACCCCCACGGTCCAGCTCCAACTCCCGCTTCCTGACCCCTCTGCTGCCATGCCCAACCCTACCAGTCCTCTTCTGCCTGCGGCCCACCCTCACTTCCAGAACCTGTCTCAGGAAGAGTAAGGTACTCAGGCACTGCCAACGCCAGCAGTGTCTCCCGTGTGTAATCCTCTTACCCAGAGGAGAGGCCTGGGAGACAACTGCAACTCCACCAGATTCCCTGCTGTCACCTGGAACCCAAAGCCCTGGTAAAGGCAGATACATAGGACAGAAAGGGGGTTGTTTTTCACTGTTTAAAACACCAGAAGCTTTTTTAAAAAATGTTTTTATTGATTTCAGAGAAAGAAAGGGGGAGGGAGAGAAACATTGATGTGAGATACATCCATCGCTACCTCCTGCATGCCCCCTCCTGGGAATGGAGCCCACAACCCAACCTGGGCATATGCCCTGACCGAAATCGAACCAGCGACCTCCTGGTGCATGGGACGACGCTCAACCAACTGAGCCACACCGGCTGGGCAGAAAGGCTATTTTTTTATCCTATCGATAATATTCACCAGAGCAGCTAGTTATCGTTGGTCTATTTTCTGTACAAATTTACAACTTACGAATTCTCTATATGCTTTTTCGTATAATAATTCCTCAAAGGCCTGGACTGGCCTGCCCTCTGAACAAAGGTAGAGACTAATCTTATATCAGAAAAACAGAAACACGAGCTTTGGTCTTCTGCTCAGAACTAAGGTTAATCTCTTTACCATAACCCTTTACCTCAGTCTCAATGGCATTCTGATCTCCTTTTCTTAGGAGATCCTTACCCCTGAGAAATGAATGAGACGTTGTCTCCCAGAAAGACTGTCTGAGCCTGTATCAATAAAGAATAAATTAAGTACCCAAAAGCTAACTGAAAAGAAAAAGATGTTCTTCTCAGAGGGCAATAGTTCTGCCCCTCCCTAACAAAATAAAAAAAAGAAAGAAAGAAAGAAAAGCTAACAGGAAGCCTAGGAGTGCCTCACACCTCAGGTAAGGACGTGCAGACAGTTCAGGGAAGACAAGACCTGGAATGACAGCTGAGCAAACAGCCAGAGCTTCAGCAGCTCAGCAGGAAGCTTCGTGGAGCTTGGGGTCCTGCCTCCCTCCTGTGGAGGTCGGGGGAAGTGCAGGAAGTGGCATGAGTCAGTCTCCTAGGGCTCACACAGCAGGAGACACAAGTACAACTCAAGTACAAGTTGAAGGCTGATTTCCCAATACCCAGAGGTAAGTAGCATCTAAAAAGCAGCCTTGTGTGACCACCATAAACCCTGTTAGGGGATCTCTAGAGAAAAAAGCCAGGCTTATGGGGCTTTGCCCATAAATGCCATCTTGGTGCTAAGGGAGAGGAGGTTTATATTGCCCGAAACAAAAACTCCACTGAAAAGGTCAACACTACTTCCAGAGGCTCCTGTAGGGGAAACTAATGGAAGTTTCTCCTCTTCCCTCCCCACCAGAAGGTCCCTACTGAATATCCAACCCATTCCCAAATCATTGTCTCCTCTTCCCTTCACACAAAACAAAATAAAAAACTGTATGACAAGGGAGTTCCTATCTCTATTCAACTGTCTGCCAGTTCTCTTTCTTCTGGCACCCAGAGCAGCTGGGACAGGAGAGGCACGTCTACAGTGTAGGCAGAGGAGCCAGGAACCAGAGTTCCAAACACAGCCACCAATACCTGGGAGGCATGCTAACGCAGAATGAAAGTCAGTGTGCCAGGAACCACAGGGCCTTTTTTAAGGCTCCGGTGACTCTGTTTTATAGATGAGGGAGAAGCCAGGCAAGTTCCCAAAGGTTTCACAGCCTGTGAGAAGGAAAAGAAACACCCTAGGCCGACTTAGTCTAGAGCTCACACTCTCCCCAGTGCGGTGCACTGTCCAATATTATTCAGTGATTCTATTTATTAGGAAAATTTTCCAAGTCCTTAGGGAATAAATACATCAACAGATAAAAGAGTTCTGAGTAGAAAGCCAAAGCTCTTGGTACGAGTGACCAATTTAGACATCTCCAGGTGTCCCTCTCCCCCATTATGGACAGAACAGTTGCCATGGAGAAGGAATCAACAAATGCACCAAGCTCAAAAGTGTTGTCCAAATCTCGAATGGTGTCAGTTTCTACGTGGGAAAGAATCAGTTCATCTACACTACAAATCCCAGGATGCAGTCAAGGGAATGATAAGTGGAAATTTTAATTTACTGCAGTACTAGAGTAGAGTAAATCTAATAATCAAATGAAACCCTTTATGGTACATGAAAGAGGCAGCACCCAGAACCAGATATGTCAACAGGACCAGAGACAAAGAATTAGGAGTTCTCAGTACAGTCAGATGAGACAAAGATGGCAAAACTGCAAAAAGTATGTAGCCAGAAAGTTCCAGGCATCCAGTATTGGCATCTGACTTGCTCTGGGGCAAATGTAAATAACTCATGGGCTTCTCCAGTGTGAACTAATTTGTCCCTATTGAATATCTAACCCATTCTCAAATCTATCTCCTCTTCTCTTCACATAGAATAAAACAAAAAACTGTTATAACCAGAACATCCCTATCTCTATTCAACTGTATGCCAGTTCTCTTTCTTCTGCCACCCAGAGCAGCTAGGACAATCTGCTGTGCCACCCCAGAAACTACTATTGGTAATTAGGTTCTCCCACTCCAACCTTCTCTACCTGCCCCCCACCCCAAAACTGGACTCTATGGAAAGGCTGTAGGATCCCATAAAAATTCATCCCAACTGCATCTCCAATTTCCCTCTCCACCCTCCACACCCCATACTAAACCAAAAGAAACACCCGCCCCTGCAGGGACCACTCATTTTCAACCCATTTCCCTAAATACTCTAACACCTCATGTAAAGACCTGAAAATGATGGGGAAGGAGATACCCCAGGCATCCCACCAGGGGACCAGCTCCCCTGGCAAAACGAGAAATCAATAGAGGCAACTGCTTAATACACACTCACAGATCTTTCTGGTTACCCTGAGTTTCCCAGGGGTAATCAGAGTCCCGTATGCTTTCTCAGGGACCTTGCATGCCAGGCTGAAGAGCCAGCTCCCCTGCTGGAGGCCTTGTAAGCATCACCATTTCCTTCACTGTGTGCTTCCTCCACGTTTAAGGTAGTGACTGCAGTCAGGCTGCTGCACTGTCTCGGGCACTGACACTGGACTGCCAACCTCATTGGTATTGGTGCCTTGTCCGCTTCCCTGGTCTGTGCAGCAGCTCCCTGTTCAGTGTCACCGGTAAGAAACTTACCCTCCCTCCAGGTCACCACTGGAATACAGAGCAGACAGCTAGCTCCTCCACCTGTTCCCATAACCACCAAATCCACTCTTCCTATTTTCTTCAGAGTTGTGTCCCATGCTTGTGTATAAAAGCCTCTACCCAAAGCTTCCTTAAAAATGATGAACATTTCCAGGCTACCCAAGTGACTCATTCAAGTCAACGTGATTTGACTTCTTAAGCAACTGAAAGAGTTGGAAGGACACGAGCAGGGCTCCTTGCCAATTCAGAATTCTATGCTTACGGGACTCTGATTACCCCTGGGAAACTCAGGTAACTATCCAGAAAGATCTGTGAGTGTGTATTAAGCAGTTGTCTCTATTGATCTCTCGTTTTGCCCGGGGAGCTGGTCCCCTGGTGGGATGCCTGGGGTATCTCCTTCCCCATCATTTTCAGGTCTTTACATGAGGTGTTAGAGTATTTAGGGAAATGGGTTGAAAATGAGTAGTCCCTGCAGGGGGGGTGTTTCTTTTGGTTTAGTATGGGGTGTGGAGGGTTATCTTCTGCGCCTGGGGTGCCCCAGGAGCCAAAAACACCATAGCTTCTCTTGTGTAGAAAATCACATTGGAGGACAAATGTTGGGGATAGTCAGCCAGGAGACTGACTATGGAGACCAAAAGGCTGAGACAGATCTTGCATTGGCATGATCATCTGGCTATGGGCCAGAGACATAATATACCATAGGCAAACTAAAAAAAAAAATGATTTTAAAGTAAATGGGGGAAAAAATTTAAGGGGAGGAGAAGTCTGAAAAAGTAAAGTTTAATTTAAAAAAACCATACACACAAAAACAACTTCTGGTTCATTTTAAACTCTCCCGCTGGGTCTTTCACAGGCAAGTCAGTTTCCCATTGAGTCCAGACCAGGGAGAGAAGCACCACAGTGGACAGAGAGCCAGCCCCTCCTGAGCCGGACAACAGCAACTGCAACTCAGACTTGAACAAATGTCCATGGCCTGAGTGACTGAGCAGCAAGGCTGGCTTCCCAGTGGTTCAGAAGGCCAGTTTCTTCATCAGCAGATAAACTCTGGAATCCACTTCAAACCCATGCAGGTTGTTGGCATCACCCTGCAGCCTCATGAGCAGGCCCCCATAGGACACGTAGGCAGAGCTGAAACAGAAGGTCCAGTCCCATGAGTGTGAGATTTGGAGCAGCTGTTACTCAGCGGCTCTCCAGCCCAGCCTAAGAAAAAGAGGCACCTTTCTAATGTTTTGTCACTAGGAACCAAAATTCAGACAAAAATGAATGCACAGATATATGCACGGCAGTGTTTTTGATATCAGCAAGAGTGGAAAATACTACATGCCCAGAATAAAGGAAATGGTCAAATCAATTCAGAGATATCCATTTACTGGAATGTTAGATATACAGCTATTAAAATGTTTAGGAAAAGCTCTAAACTGACATGGGGAAACATGTTTTACATAACATTAAGCAAAAAGAGTAGAAAAAAACATTGTCATAAACAACAAGATCTCAAAGAAAAAAGCACAGAAGAAAAAAAAATACCTAAATTATTCAAAAATGTTTATGTAAAAGGTTCCCTCTGGGTATGGAATTATAGATGATTTTTGTTCCTTCTTGACATTACTTCTCTGCTTTTCATATTTCTTACAAAGGGCACATATTGTTTTAATAAGATTTTAAAGAAAAGAAAAAATAGCTAGTCAGGGAAACCAAAGAACTAGGGATTGGGTTGCAGTGTAGCAGCATATACATATACATACATACATACAAACACACAAGGCAGTTTAATTACTTGATGCTGCATTTATTCCTAAGGAAGCAACCTTCCTTTGCACTGCACACAGCAAGATTGTCAGTCTCTCATTTGGACCACCAGGGCCGAGACCCTGACAAAGAGCAAAGTGAGCAGCCTACATTTTAGACTGAAAACTGTTCCCAGAAGTTTCTTTCTGGGTCCTGCTTAGGTCTGAGGTACTTAAAGAGAAGGACCCAACACAGGAAGGATAAGCAAGTCCCAAATTCTCAGAACAGGGCAGGGTCAAAGGGTTCTCACAGGACCAAGGAACTTACAGACGTGTTGCTGCTTCAGTAGAAGTTTCGTCTCCCTCAATCCTGTACACTTTTCCATACATTACATACTCAAATTGGTCAGCCCTGTGGAACAATAGTGGCAGTTACTCTGAAAAGTAGTTAACAATGCCAGGCCAGTGTTGCTCAGTGGCTGGATGTCGACCCATGCACCAAGAGGTCACTGGTTTGATTCCTGGTCAGGGCACTTGCCCAGGTTGGGAGCTCAATCCCCAGTAGGGGGCGTGCAGGAGACAACCAATCGAAGTTTCTCTCGTTGATGTTTCTATCTCTCCCTTCTCCCTCTCCCTTCCTCTCTCTCTAAAAGTCAATAAAAACATATTTTTTTAAAGTAGTTAACAATAAGAGGTTCTTTAAAATTGGTAACGGCTAACTAAGTGCCAGCATTATAGCAACAGGCACTTCCCAAATACAATGTTATTTAGTCCTCACAGCAAACCTGTGAACTAGGTACAACCATCTGTCTTTCACTGAAAAGAAAACCGAGGCTGAAAGAGGTTAAGGTTAATCAACAAATGAGTGGTAGGACTGAGATTTTAACTCAATGGGGCTCCAAATTCCCATCACACCAAACTCCCCCCCAAGACTCAAGGCCCATACAGCCTAGGTCACTCAGTAGTCATTTCCTCCACCATCAAAAAGCTACAAATCACAAGCATGTAATCACTGCTCTGGATAAACACCTTGTTAATTTTTTTAAAAAATATGTTTTCATTTATTTCAGAGAAGGAAAGTGAGAGGGAGAGGTAGAAACATCAGTGATGAGAGAGAATCATTGATCGGCTACCTCCTGTATGCCCCACACTGGGGATCAAGCCTGAAAGCAGTAGTCATTTCCTCCACCATCAAAAAGCTACAAATCACAAGCATGTAATCACTGCTCTGGATTAACACCTTGTTAATTCTTTTTTTTAAAAAATATGTTTTCATTTATTTAAGAGAGAGAAAGTGAGAGGGAGAGGTAGAAACATCAATGATGAGAGAGAATCATTGATCAGCTACCTCCTGTATGCCCCACACTGGGGACCAAGCCTGCAACCCAGGCATGTGCCTTGATCAGGAATCGAACCATGACTGCCTGGTTCATAGGTCAACACTCAACCACTAAGCCACACTGGCCAGGTACCTTGCTAATTCTTAAGTGCAGCAATTTCTTTAAGTTTCCTCAGATTCTGCTGATAATCATTTATTCCATGACTTAATTAAATAAGGTTCTTTCTATACCACTTATCTACTTTGTTCTCGGGCATATTTCAAGTACTCCCTTCTTCACTCCCTCACCTGGAAGGTCTGTCATCTGTGGGGTTATATTCACCATCATCCAAGGTACCATCTTCATACAAGGTACTGGCTATGACCAACCGGAACTTGTCACCTGAAAGTAACGGCAATATCTGAGAGTGAAAACAGCTGAAATGGCAAAAAGTCTCCTGCTATTTTCTGTGTTCAATACTTACCCAAATCTACAGGATAAATCTGAATGTTTACATCTAAGATAAGGTCCATCTTGAAAGATTCACTCTCACAATGCAGTCGGGACACTGGAGAGAAGTAGAGAAAGAGTGGCAGAGGATAAGTGCCTGACCCAGGGTGACGCTGCAGACCCCACTTTGGGGGGTTGTATGCAATAGAAGACTCAACCTACCCCAACTAGAGGCCCAGTGCAAGAAAATTCGTGCACTCGGGGGTCCCTCAGCCGGGCCTGCGCCCTCTTGCAGTCTGGGAGCCCTCGGGGGATGTCCAACTGACAGCTCCACAGGGAGCGGGCCTAAGCAGCAGTCTGACCTCCCTCTGCAGGAGGCAACCAGATTGCTGCTGCTGCTGCCGGTGGCCTCCCTCAGTGACCAGCGGGCCGATTGGGGGATGGTGTGGATGCAATAGAAGACTCAACCTACCCCAACTAGAGGCCCGGTGCACGAAAATTTGTGCATTCGGGGGGGGGGTCTCTCAGCTGGGCCTGCGCCCTCTTACTGTCTGGTAAGCCCACTACGGGGAGTGGGCCTAAGCAGCAGTCTGATCTCCCTCTGCGGGAGGTGACTGGCGGGCTGAATGGGGGATGGCACGGGCCACCGGTGAGTGGTTCGGTCACTTTGCATATTAGGCTTTTATTATATAGGATTAGCATCCACTGGCCTCTCATCTGCTCTCAGAAGTGCAGGCTCAATCAGAACCAGATATACAAGAAGCAAAGTGGAGAAAATCCCGGGAAAAGAATCAAAAGTCCCCTGGCAACAAAGAATATCCAGATTCTAGGCCTGCCTCGGTGATTAAGAAACAACCTAACTTTGGGCAAAGGTTTTGTCTTTCTGTGTCAGGCGCTGTGCTGAGGGGATTATTAGGACATGTAAGAATCGGTGTTTGTCTTGAAGAACATCTCAGTCTCCAGGCAAAGGGTGAGAAAACAGAAAGAAACAATTATTGATCAATGACAGAATAAAGAGCAACTCTTTATTATTCCAAGCAGTCAACTCTAACTGGGAGAGGGCTTCACAAAAAGCTAAAGATCCTAAGGGCAATACAAGAATATAGGTGCAAAGAGGCTTTACTTTGGGTGATGGGCTCATGATGCAGTATGCAGATGATCTGTTGAATTGTACACTTGAAGCCTGTATGGGTTTGTCAACCAATGTCACCCCAATAAACTCAATAAAAACTAATAATAATAATAATAATAATATAGGTTCTGGAGTCAGATTACTTGCTGTGCAGCCTTTGGGTGGGTTACTTCTCGGAGAAAAACGGGTAAGACAATAACTACCTCATTCAGACTCTTGAAAGAAATCAGACAAAGCGTGGAAGGTGCACAGGACAGCGCCTGGAAGAGTGGGAAGTGACCAGAAAGAAGCCCAGGAGTTTACCAGCTCCATGAGAAAAGGCCACCCAGGCACCGGGCACAGCATGTGTGAACCCAGGAGAGCTCGGAGTCTCCGTTCTTTCCTCTATAAAGTGTTTCCTGAGCGCGGTCCCTACATCAGGACCTGACGGGAGGCGCATGCCACGTGGGTTGGGTGGACCGGACCCGGGGGCGTGTCCCCGAGAACGGGACTAGACCCTGACCCAAAACCGCCTCTACATACCTTACTTACCTCGATCAAACTTCTTGCCCTCCGGGTCAATGTCTTTCACATCAAAAATATCCTCAAACAGAATGCCGGCCATGGTAACAGGGCGACGAGGGTGGCACCAGGGGCGCTGACCGCGCAACCACGACTAGGAGTATGCGCACCCCCTCGCGCGGAGGAAACAAGCGGGAGAGGGGAAAAGGTGCGGCCTAAACTGCAGCCGCAAGGAAATAGAATAACGCCTGCGCACAGGCAGGCAGGAGCGCGGCCACTTCCGTCGCCTAGCTCTCGGGGCTTCCTAACTTCCGCCCCGAACTACGCTTCGGAGACTTCAGTGTTGAGGGCGGGCCTCAGGTCGATAACCCCGCCCCAGGGCGGGATCGCAATAAGACAGACCCCCACCTCCCGCCGAGGTGGCGCGGTTCCTCGCTCTCCGCGGAGGCTCGACTGCGCCCTCTCCAGTCTTCCTGTTGGGAACACTGGAACGCATGGGGGCCTACCCCAGCCAGAGACCTTGATCCTTGGCCCAGAGAAGCCCAGCCCAGCCCAGCCCTACCCTGCCAGCACGCGTGCTTGCCGAGGGCACAGTCCGCGCGAGCCCCTGCAGCTGGCACCGAGGCCCTTCAGGCCGGCCTGGCCCAGCTCGGCCCTGCTGGGTGTCACCCGAGCTGGGTCCTTTCAGTTTGGGAATTTGCCATGATGTCACTATGGGAAAGAGGAAAGCCTGCACTATCCCTTCCCCTGGCACCGCACCCTCCCCACCATTGTCCTCTTGCCCTGAGCCCTGCTCACACCGCCCCTGAAGCCTGGCATTGACCCCATCACACTGTGCCCTCCGGAGCACTGCCCCTTCAGCTTGGAACTGCTCGTTCCCTCCCCACTGGACACTGATCTGTGTGCCCCTTCCTCCTGGCACTCTCCTCTCCTGCGGACACTCTGGCCTGACATTGATCGCGCCTTCCCCCAGGAGGCTGGCTGCTCCCACACCGCCCCCTTCCTGGGCACCGTCCCCTCCTCCCAGCCAGCACCTGCACCTCCGCATGCCCCTTCCTCCCGTGGCCTCCTCCGGGGCACACTGCCTGCTTCCTGGGCACGGGCCTCTCCCCGACACTATCTCTGACTCGCACACACAGCCCATCCACCCTGTGCTCGCCCCACCCTCGGCTCCGTCCTTCCTCGAACCTGATGGAGAACCAAGAGCCCATCAGGCCATCTCCCCCCATGGCGGCGAGATGTCAGCAGCTACTCGTGTTCTCCTGGGGCCCCGCCAGGAAGAAGCGACCTCTGTCCTTCCGCGCCCGCCTCCAGGAGCGCGCTCTCCCGCACCCGGACCCC